ATATATATATATATATATATATATATATATATATATATATATATATATATATATGGGAAAATATTCAAACAGCTCCGGGGACAACCTTGAGTTTTCCCTGAGGTACGTTTATTGTCTTCTGTGAGGATGAGGGTCTCCATTCCAGCTTTAGATGTGGTACTTCCCTATATATCTTTCCTATATATATAATATATATATATATATATATAATATATATATATATATATATATATATATATATATATATATATATATAATATATATATATATATATATGTCGTGCCGAATATGTAAAACTGGTCAATTAGCAAGAACTCATTTAAAATTAAGTCCTTTCTAAAATTTTCTTTTATACGTTTAAAGATATATTTTTTTCATTAATGTTAATGTAAAAATTTATAATTTTGCACCAAAAGAATCTTAAAAAACTTACCTAACCTTATTATAACAAGAACAATTTATTTTAGCCTAACCCAACTAATTATATTTTAGATTTGTTTACAATAATTTAATACTAGACAAACACAGTGAAATATATTTTTTTCGTTAGGTTCAGAATGATTTTCGCAAAATTATTGCATACACAAATTTTCACTTGTCTTATATGGCAAGATGAGCGTTGCTATTTAAGCCAAGATCGCAAGTTCTGCCTATTCGGCACGACATTATATATATATATATATATATATATATATATATATATATATATATATATATATATATATATATAATATATATATATTATATATATATATATATATATATATATTTATTTCAACAAACCAGCCGTATCCCACCAAGGCGGGGTGGCCCAAAAAGAAAAACGAAAGTTTCTCTTTTTACAAGTTTCTCTTTTACATTTAGTAATTTATACGGGAGAAGGGGTTACTAGCCCCTTGCATGGCTTACGGAGGAAGAATTCTGTTCTACTTCCCCATACGTTATATATATTATATATATTATATATATATATATTATATATATTATATATTTATATATATATATATATATATATATATATATATATATATATATATATAATATATATATAATACGTATAAGAGAAAGTCGTTTGTGCGTGTGTGTGTGTATACTCACCTAATTAGTCACCTAAGTGTGGTTGCTGGGGTGGAGTGTTAGCTCATGGCCCCGCCACTGGTCGCTACTAGGTCTGCTCACTCCTCCTCCATGAACTTTATCATTCCTCTGGATCCTACCTCCGCTAAATCAGTCTCCATATTGTTCCATTTCCTGACAACTCTATGGCCGAAGAAATGCTTCTTAACATCCCTGTGAATCATGTGAGTTTTCAACTTCCAGTTGAGTTCGCATAACCTCTCCTCGTACGACAAACCCCTCAGTTCCGGGACTAGTCTTGTTGCAAACCTTTGCACTTTCTCAAATTTCTTGACGTGTTGGATCAGGTGTGGGTTCCATACTAGTGTTGCATATGGGCCTGACGTACACGGTGCAGTGTCGCGCTTGTGTGCGTGTGCGTGTGTGTGTGTGTGTGTGTGTGTGTGTGTGTGTGTGTGTGTGTGTGTGTGGGGTGGTGCGCGTGCGTGCGTGCGTGCGTGCGTGTGTGTGTGTGTGTGTGTGTGTGTGTGTGTGTGTGTGTGAGAGAGAGAGTTTCTTAACTGCACCGTTCGTAAGTTTGTTTGCGGTTTGTGTGCACAGATGTGCGTGTAGGAGCGGTGTTTGCTAGGTGGTGGTGATAGCGGTAGAGGGCATGACCTCACATACAGGAGCCAAATCTGAAGTCATTATAGACTGATCGTTCAGTCGATCGTTGATGGTGGCCGTAATTAGTCAAGTAAAAGGTGAGGACTGGTGGAAAAGAATTGGAGGAGAGGAGAAGTGGCTGAGGAGAAAAGTGGTAGAAAGGTGAAGGAGAGAAGGGGAGAGGGTAGGAGAACATTAGAGACGAGAAATGGTCAAGCGAAGAGAAATAGCAAAAAACGTGAAATAATGAGAGAGGAAGTGGTGCAGAAGTGAAATAAGAAAAGGGGAAGTGAAGAGGGGAGGGGAAGAGAAATAGAGGGGAAAGTAAAGCAAAGAGAGGGGGTAAGTGAAGTTGTGAAGTTAAGGGAAGAGAAGTAATAAAAAAGTGAATTAAGTGGAGGAAAGGTGGTGGAGAAGTGTAGTAAGAGAAGTGAAAAAGAATTTTCTAGGTAATGTTTTCGAAAGTTTGTTCGATGGAGGAACACTTTAAGAAGTTTCCTGGTGCAGATACAGGGAATTTATGGAGAGAAAATGTATGGGAACATCACGAATGACATCACGTATGACATCACGTATAACAGCATCACGTATGACATCACGAATGACATCACGTATGACATCACGTATAACATCATCACGTATGACATCACGAATGACATCACGTATGACATCACGTATAACATCATCACGTATGACATCACGTATGACATCATCACGTATGACATCACGTATGACATCACGTATAACAGCATCACGTATGACATCACGAATGACATCACGTATGACATCACGTATAACATCATCACGTATGACATCACGTATAACATCATCACGTATGACATCACGTATGACATCACGTATAACAGCATCACGTATGACATCACGTATGATATCACGTATAACAGCATCACGTATGACATCACGAATGACATCACGTATAACACCATCACGTATGACATCACGTATGATATCACGTATAACACCATCACGTATGACATCACGTATGACATCATGTATAACTGCATCACGTATAACATCACGTATGAGAACATCACGTGTCACAGTGTGAGTGGAAGTGGAGAAAAACCTTAACAACATCTACACAATAAACCAGGGAATGGATGTGGTTTAAACCCATTGCGAGCGAGCCGTAAAACTCCAGCCCAGTGCATAAACCACTAAGCAACCTGAGTAATACATCGCAACTATTTAAGACACTGGATTAGTGCGCTACAAATTATCAAGGAAAACGTAACCCAGAGAAGAGTCTTTGAATCTGCACTCACTAAGATCTACAACAACGTCAACCATGACAACTTTTCCTTCAGTTTAGTAGCACATCTTGCCACAAAATTCGTAGGACATTTCGAAATCAAAGTGACTTGACGCGCACCTCACTTTGCTTCACTTCACCTTTGCGCACTACTTTATAAGCTCTAATTCCCACACCAAGTTCACTTGTTTGTGACATAAAAAAAAGTTCACTGTGTGGGCAAAACGCCGTTAATAAAAGTTCCAGATAATTGCATTTTCTGTTAGTTTATTCATCAGGACTATCATCGAAGTCGGATTTTTATCATGTAATAACTCGTTCTATGATTTCTTCAGTTTTGAAAAAATAATGGTGTGACACTTATTAGTTGTGTCCTTAGTATCCCAAGATTACTCCATACGAAAATATATATAAAGTCATCCAGTTGGTTCTCGCAGGTATAAAATTTTAAATGTGTGTCATATCGGGTCATCTATACTACTAAGACCCGTATCAGGAGACAATGTGTCATATCAGTTTTTGTCTACACTGCCGACCATGGTGACGAGCTGGAGGAGCATCAGGCTGGAGTGGAGAGAGTTGGTGCGTCCGTGGATTGTATTGTGTTGCGTTGTGGTTGTGTTGATTCTTGAGTGTTGTGATGATGGTTGGTGTGTTGTATGTCGTGTTGGGGTGGTGTGTTCCTGTGGATACTTTTGCAGTGTTAGTGGGGGTTTCTGTGTTGTCTTATGGCGGTGTTGGGTTCCTCTGTTTAGTGTGGAGTTAGAGGGCTCCTATGTGTCTTGTTGTGTTAGTGAGCTCCTGTGTATCATGTCGTCGTGTTAGTGGGGTACCTGTGTGACGTGTAGTGGTACTGGTACCTTTCTGTGTAGTGTTGTTACTGGTGAGTGTCATTTTGGAACGTAGTAGTGATTGTTGATTAATGTAATAAATATTGCCATTGTGTAGGCTGTTAGCAACTATTTTGATTGTGGTGAATATTGATGGACGTTGCTTTTGTTGGTGGATGTTGTGTTTGTGGTGTCTGTTGGTGGCACATTCTGCGTCATGTGGTGGTAGTGGTGACTGGTAATTTGTGTAGAGGTGTGTGGTGGTCTGCGACCTTTTTTTCTTGTATTTTAACATTTAACAAGAAAAAAAAGACAGATTTTCCTTTCAGACCTTTGTCTGGGCTTCTGTGCCTCAGGCTGGGTTAAAGTCACAGCTGTGTCTGATACAAAGACGAAAATCTCGAAAATATTTTTCTGTTTGAACTTGAGTATTATATTATTTTGCATTAAAAGTGCATTTCTGAAAGATACGACGTTGGTATGATGAACAAAATCCAAAATACCGTTACTGGAACAATTCACCACTGACCCACAATACCGTATCTCGAACAATTCACGACTTAATAACTTACACTACAATTCGGTCCGTCTTGGACTATCATCAGTCTCAACATGTTAATGATCCAAGAGGGACCGAAACGTAGTATTATATTTCCTCTCCTAAACTGTGGTTTTTCTATTAACCAGATAGAAATTAAGTATCTTGTTAGGAAATATTATTTTGATTTTGACGTCAAACACGGACACTCTCTAAGTACGAATGTGCACATGAACCCCGAGCCCATCTTTACCCGGTGATAGGTTTGGTGCGTGATACATCCCTTCCCTACCTCTGAGAATTTTCCCCCTCAACTTACATGTTGCAACTCTCGCAACATTGCTTAGCTTCCTAAGAAGCATTTGTGAAAGCGCGAAAGGCCTAGAGATAGTAGTATTTTTCGTCTCCTAGCGGCTCTTTATGCATAGTTTGGATAGCAGTTTCTTTGCAATTGCAGTACATAATAATAATAATAATAATTATATATATATATATATATATATATATATATATATATATATATATATATATATATATATAATATATATATATAATATATATATATATCCTGCTCATGACATTTTAAAATTTTCTGACTATTTTTTCGAATGCAGTTTTTATTGAAGTGTTTGAAGATCGAATGAGGACTGACCACGCAAGATATTCTTGACATCACACTGCAAAATTACTCTGGCTGCTCGCTGATGTCACGCTGTCCACGGCGCCTCAAAGGATGAAAGGAAATTTAAGAAAGTAATTGACAGTTTCTGAAAGGCCTGATACAGGTCGTTCTGTGTCTGGTTTTGTGAGTTCTTTAGGACCATTGTGAGGGTTCCTTCTTCGTCCTGGGATGGTTTTAGGAAACTTGCCAATGTGTGAACCCTTACTCCAGCATCTGTGAGGGTCTTAGAGCCTTCCTTTGCTTTCTATGAAAGTTTTGGGGTCGTTTTCATCAAATGTGATCGTCTCCGATCCTTCCTTCAGCATCTGTGACGATCTTGGGGTCTCGTCACCACCAGCTGTAACGATCTTGGCCCCTTCGTCTAGAAATTTGCCACCGCCTTGGACCCCCCATCTTCTATCTGTGAAGGTCTTAAGGGCCTTCCTCCACCATCTGTGAGGACTGGGGGTCCCCTTCACCACCTGTGACGGCTGGGGGGTCCCCTTCACCACCTGTGACATCCGTGGGCGGCCCCCACGCAAAACTTCTCGCTCCAATTCCCGAGAGCAATTTCTCCACACCAACCCACCCTCATCCTCTGAAAAGACTTTCACAATAAGTTGAGCTCCTCACCGTGAGAGGGTGTGGGAGTGGTGAGATGACCCGGACAATGGACCATTATGAGAAGCACAATAATCACCCCAACCACAGTGGCAAACACAGCGACGGTGGAGTGTCCTACTCAAGTAAGTACACCACTGTCCTCTAGCATGTTTTGTAGTCCACAGATCTATGGCCTGATACGGCGCAAGCTGTCAGTGGCCCTATGAAACAACAACACAGAGGAGCATTATACACACGTGTTGTTGTACTCTACTGAAGTGATGAACTCCCGTAAGTATGGATTGTTGTCATACAGTCGAGTGAGATACTCGATTGTATAATGTACTCCATCAAGAGTGACGTTCGCAAGTAAGTACAGTAGTGTGCAAATTAATTGGGACAGGAGTAAATTTTGTGATTTTCTTACTTGTCTTTTTCTCTGGCTTAATGTAGTTTGGGTTATTTTCTCTTCATAAGAGTTTGCTTCCGACTTCTGGCAACCATCCAGCTGTGGTGTTACCCTGCGACTTTTGTCAGTGCTACAACAACTGTTGTTCTGTAAGGCTATTCCTGAAAACGTGCTGTGTGTGTGAATGCGTTTTCGCCAAATTCTCCCCTTCAGTTAATGATTTCTGCTAAAATTCATGATGGATGTTACACCTAGGAAGCATGCATGTTACACCTAGGACTAAAAAAGACAACTGTTGGTCGGATTCTGAAAAGAGCTGACGACACTGGTGATTGTGTAGCACTGCGTCGAGGAAGACAAAGAAAACGCAAGACAACACTTCACGATGACAAGGTTATCATAAAAAAAATAGTGTGAAGGATTCCAAGAAAACCAGCAAATATTTACAGAGAGATTTGGCTTCAACTGTCATGAATATTTATTCTTCAACTGTTCGACAAAGGCTCCTTGAAGTTGGCAGAACTGCCAGAAAGCCAGTAAAGAAAAAAATATGGACTGCCGCTATAGAAAAAGCGGTTGTAGTGGCACGCGATCATAAGGGATGGACCACAGATGAATGGAGAAAAGTTGTATTTTCAAATGTGGTATATTTTTAAGTACTGTGTATGGGTACAGGTCAGTGAAAGTGAGACGGAGCAAAGGCGAACCTCTTTGGAATGGACACATTCACAAGTGCCAAAACACTCACCTAAGATGTTCTGGAGTAGTTCTACTGCTAAAGGGCCGGGACTGGTTGTTATTGTTGTGGGAACGATGAACAGTGACAAATATAATGCAATCCTGGCTACTCATTTGCTCCCTATTGTAGATACAGACTTTCCTGATGGAGAAGGCATTTTCCAGGATCTTGCTCCATGCCACACTTCCAGAAAAATATTGACATTCTTCGAAAAGAGTGTGCTAAGTGTTCTAAACTGATCTCCTGACTTCACCAATATTGAGAATCTATTGGCAATAACCAAATGCAGGATTGTGAAACAGGACTGTTCAACTGTGGAGAAGCTAACTGCTGCTGTTATTAGGACCTGGTACCACGACGACTGCTGCTGTTATTAGGACCTGGTACCACGACGACTGCTGCTGTTATTAGGACCTGGTACCACGACGACTGCTGCTGTTATTAGGACCTGGTACCACGACGACTGCTGCTGTTATTAGGACCTGGTACCACGACGACTGCTGCTGTTATTAGGACCTGGTACCACGACGACTGCTGCTATTAGGACCTGGTACCACGACGACTGCTGCTGTTATTAGGACCTGGTACCACGACGACTGCTGCTGTTATTAGGACCTGGTACCACGACGACTGCTGCTGTTATTAGGACCTGGTACCACGACAACTGCTGCTGTTATTAGGACCTGGTACCACGACGACTGCTGCTGTTATTAGGACCTTATACC